GTGAACTTAGGATTTAGACCCTAAAAGATGAAAAGATTTGAGTAATTTGATATAAACTTAGAAAAAGTTTAGTATACCTTGTATCAAGTCACTATTATCGTACCTCTGTCGGCTCGATGCAGATGCATTGGCAATGTGCCAATCAATGATGACGGATGTTGTTGTACAGTGAGACTGAGTCGCTGCAAATCGGATCTGGACTAGGATACCATCATCATCTTCTATCAAATACACCGGCCGCGTGGCCTAATGGCTAAGGCGCTAGATTTCGGTCTCCCTCTTCTGAACTCTCTAGAGATTCCAGGTTCGACTCCTGGCGTGGTCGACACACGATCTTCGGATCTTTCCTTTTGCAAATTTTTGCACTTGAGGTGGGTCGTTGGAGAACAGACTAAGCCATTTTCTCCAACATTTCACGTTCAAACAATTGAAGTTGTCTTTTTAATTCGAGTTGTATTTATCACAATTGCTTTTCAACTATATCATACAGTGTCTGTCATTTAAAGGCTGTTCACAACTGGTGTAGCAGTCTTATCATCTTCATTCGAAGGCATGAGCTCATTCTCAATGCTGCTCGGCTTCTCAGGGACAGTCTTTTTCTTGCGCAGACCGAAGCATGTCGTGAGTGGTGTAAACACGCCAAGGTTGCCGTATCGCTCCATGTAAGTCATCGAGCAGAAGGAGATAATAACGACCAACCAATAGACGTTGTACGAGACAACAGATCCAATAGTCGCAGAGTTTTGCCAGCCAAGAATGGCATTGAAAATACCCCAGCCACCACCGCCGTTCAGCTCAGCGTTGCAGCAGTTGACGTGCCAGACACTCTTGTGGATGTCGTATGAGCCAGGGCCGGAGCCAACTTCTGCTGCATCGCCGCCGATGATGTTGTTCCAGGCGTGAATCTCGAAGGCCCAGACGGCTTTGCTGAAGAGGCCGGCGGCGACGAGATACAAGAAGCCTGTAGAGATGATGAGGAAGATCTGGAGGGATGTGGTGTTTCCTCCTCTGTTAAAGATAGTCAGCATTGAGGTCCTTGTGTAGAGTCGAAAAGTTAACGTACCTGTAAATGATGTATCCAACGACACAACCAGCAGCAAGACCGCAAATAACAGCCAGCGGAAACGACGAAGCCGGAAGTCCCAAACTGACACCTCCAATATACACAACAGCCTCAAGACCCTCTCTCAGAACCGTAATAAAGGGCAGAATAAACATGACGTGCTTCTCCGACCAGAGCTTGAAACGGCTCATGAGACCAGAAGTCGCAATCGCATCTTTCTTATCCAGAGCCTGCATAAGCTTAACACGCCATTTCTCTTGAAGTTTATTAACTCTCAAAAGCGCAGCGCCCATGATAGAGATAATAATCGCGGCGATGAGACTGAAGCTTCCCTCCCAGATATCTTCAGTCTTGCTAAAGACGTCTTTGCCGAGGGAGTAGAATGCTCCGATCATGCCTGCGCCGATGCAGAGACAGATTGCGAGGCCGAGACCTACTCCAATCCATACCTGATTATTTGTTAGAATTGAGGAAGCGTGAATTTGGAGAGGAGGAGGACCTGTTTGAGAAGGCGTTTGTAGGTTTCTCTATCGCCCTCGCCGCCGACGCTCTGTTTCAAGAACGCGAGAAGGACGGAGACGATGATGCTTGTTTCGAGACATTCTCGGAAACAGATGAAGAAGACTTTTCGGAGTTAGACAATTGGATTCATTGCTGGTCACAACTTTTGGGGTAAGTAAGTGGTTGCGTACTGGGAACAGCAAAGACGTTGACTGTCATGATGATATCAGCTCGTTGGCCACAGACCAGGCAATCAGATAAGAATTTGACAGTGAAAAGAAGAATAATTCGTGAGATCTCTGATATGAGGGGACATGCAATGCAACGAAACAATATATCGACTTGCCCAACTCGTTTCCACCAACAGTGGATCCCCCCGAATTGACTTTGAACCCATCCCACGCTAGCGTCCAGCCTCCAGTGCCGACTTTTCCGAGATTCAGTGTCATCTGCCTCGCAAAAAGATGGATAAGATAACTTTTGACACAACGCTAATCACTCTACTTTGTGAAGGGGTGCCGACTTTCCGAGCTGACGCCATCTGATTTGACAAGATCGATAAGATAAATTAATCGCGCTCCCGATTATCCGATATTTATCAATCTAGAGGCGACGCTATGGGCTGATCCTCGTATCTAGTGCGTGCCGGTTATCCAGAGTTTGGTGCCAAAAAGTAAGGTTACTTGACTGAGCTGGGTTGGGAATTGCCGCAGTCTTTATCTGATCGGTTCCCTGCAGGCACTCAATGGCCAAATGTAACTTGAGCCTCTCGCCAATTGACTCAGCTCATCTTTCTTCATCAGCTCCAAGACTGATGAACTAGTGACTGTCGCGATGCTTCTCTCACTCTTCGTCTCATCGCTGGCCGTACTCTTTGCTGTACCCACGGTCAGCGCAAAAGATGTGCATTTCGACTGGAACATTACGTGGACGACTGCAAATCCCGATGGATTGCACGCGCGCCCTGTAATCGGCATCAATAACCAATGGCCTCTCCCAGTCATCAACGTCACAAAAGGCGATAGAATCATCGCAAAGGTGACGAATCAATTGGGAAATGAGTCGACATCCATTCACTGGCATGGAATGTATCAGAATGGAACGAATTTCATGGATGGACCTGCTATGGTGACTCAATGCAACATCCCTACTGGCGCTTCCATCACATACAACTTCACAGTAAGTCTGATCCGAGTAGTGAAGGGAACAAGGCTGATTCTTGACAGGCTGACCAAGTTGGGACTTACTGGTATCATTCTCACACAAGATCTCAATACCCCGATGGTCTACGCCAAGCCCTCATCATCCAAGATCCCAAGAATCCCTACGCGGATGAATACTATGAAGAGCGCGTCATCTCACTCTCAGATTGGTATCACGACGAAATGCCCGTTCTCATGAAACAATTCGTCTCCTACAAAAACCCCACCGGCGCAGAGCCCGTTCCAAACTCAGCACTTATGAACGACACGCAGAACATGACTCTTCCCGTTGAACCTGGTAAAACCTATCTTCTTCGCTTGGTAAATGTTGGTGCATTTGCGTCGCAGTACTTTTGGATTGAGGGGCATACTATGAAGATCGTTGAAGTCGATGGCGTTTGGACGAAGCCTGCTGAGACAGACATGATTTACATTGCGAGTGCTCAGCGGTATGCGGTTTTGGTTACGATGAAGAATGAGACTGGGGCGAATTATCCGATGATGGCCAGTATGGATACGGTACGTTAATCTTTCTAACAATTCCTTGTGACACAAGCTAATCATCATTGATAGAGTCTGTTCGATTCTATTCCTGATGGCCTGAACTGGAATGTCACTGGCTGGCTGGAGTACGATTCCGACAAGAAGCTCCCCCCAGCTGCTGTTTTGAACGATTTCGAGCCATACGATGACTTCAAGCTTGTTCCCACAGACAGCGAGAAGTTGTTAGAAAAGGCCGATTATACTATCAGCTTGGATCTCACGATGAATAACCTTGGCGATGGCGCGAACTAGTAAGCAGCCCTGTATCCCTTTATCCTCTAGTACATCCATACTGACGATCTTAGCGCCTTCTTCAACGACATCTCCTACGTGTCCCCCAAGGTCCCAACATTATACACTGTCCTCTCCGCCGGCCAAAATGCTACTAACCCAACCGTTTACGGAACCGACACAAATTCCTTCGTTCTCAAACACGGCGAGATCGTAGAAATTATTCTCAACAACGATGATTCCGGACGACATCCCTTTCATCTTCACGGTCAAAACTTCCAAGTTGTGCATCGCAGTGAAGAAAATGCAGGCCACTACAACGCGTCGTGGACGAATATTACATACCCATCTGTCCCAATGCGAAGAGATACGCTCTTAGTGTATCCACAAGGAAACTTTGTCATTCGCTTCCCAGCTACGAATCCAGGTACGTCCAAATCAAACGTGAAACAATAAGTAAGCACTGACCGTGATAGGTGTCTGGCTCTTCCACTGCCATATCGAATGGCACATGGACACTGGTCTGATTGCAACGATGATTATGGCACCGCTTGAGATGCAGAAGGCTTTGACGATTCCACAGGAATTTAAGCAGATTTGTGCTGATCAGGGGATTTCGACTGTTGGTAATGCAGCTGGCAACGCCGAGGACTATCTGGACTTGACTGGACAGAACTTGATGGTACCTGCTTTGCCAGCTGGGTTCACTACGAAAGGTTATGTCGCTATGGTGTTTAGTTGTGTTGCAGGCGTCCTCGGTCTCGCCTCGATTACTCTGTAAGTTCTCCCGCTTTCTATTTGTAGAAAAATGCTAATGGTTCTGCTTAGGTATGGCTCTGCACCGATTGCAGCCAAATGAGAGAATAGGATACGTGTATCATATAGAAAATGGATCGAAATAATATTGAGAAGTATTTAAAAATATAATGATTTGGAAATTGGCTATGTGCCCGAGCCGTTTTCTTCTGAAGCACTCAAGTGATATCCCTCGCACTCAATTTCAACCAGGGGTGCGTCACTCCCCATTCTGGCATTCTCGGCCTAACACCAACCCCAGGATTCGCTGAGTTGATGCCATCTGATCGCTGGCCAACAGCCAAATCTCATTGATGTATGTTACAGTGATGAAGATTGTATGCACACTTAAAGGTCACTCAATCGCGAGTCAATAAACTTGAGACAAAGGAAGATCGTCAAAGCACAAGACGAAGGACCATGAGAAGATAGTACGGGTAAAATGTCAATACAAAGCTAATACATAAGAAATAATTATGAGCAAACTGATATCCCTAGCATAATCCCATTACACCTTACCATCTTCCCCATCGTAACCATCCAAATGTCAAAACAGTGATCAAAGACCCATAGAACCGTCTGATAGCCCATGCCGGCGCCAACAAGGGATCATTCCTCGGAATAGGTTGAACTGGTGGCTTGACTGTCGGCTCCGGCTCCTGGCTTCAGAGGGTCTTCTTGTGTTCCTCAAGGCGGTGAACGAGATCCTTCAACTGCTCATCACTGGTCTCTCCTCTGAAGATCTTTTTCTGATACTCGTCCACCAGACTGGTCCATTTCTTGTTGATAGCTTTCTGAGCGTTTTTCAACTCTTGATACTCTGTATCCGCTTTATCAACGCGATACTCCCAAGTCTCGGCCTCAGTAGTCTTGTCGGTCAGCTCTCTTTTCGTGATGACGAGTTCAGCAGATGTCTCATCAAGAGTGATGGTCTTGGCCTTAAGCTTTGTCTCAGTCTCCTCGAGAACCTTCTTGGTGTCCGTGTAGCTCTTGAGGGCATTGTTGAGATCTGTCTTGGTGCGTTCATTCTCAGCATTGGCATCGGCGAGCTGGTTCTGGAGAGCCTTAACGGCGAGGCGTGAATCCCGAAGCATATTCTCAAGCTCTAGGCTCTTGGTGATAAGAGCACCGTTTGCCTCCTTCTGTATCTTGAGCTCATTCTCAAGTTCAAGGACCTTACCAACAAGAGTGAATACTTCTTCTCGGAGATCACCGATGGTATGTTCAAGCCTCTGCTTCTCACGCTGAGCCTCGAGTAAATCGTTGTTAAGGCATGCGATCTCAGAGCCAAGCGCGTTAAGATCTTCCTGCAGCTTGCTGATGACCTTGTGATCGAACCTGTCGTCCTCCTTGAGATGCTCGATTCGGTCGTTGAGCTGCTTAACCTTATCCTTGTACTCCTTGCTGGCGTCAGCGAGTTGCTTGTTAAGCTGCTCGATGGTCGCGTTGGCCTTGTTGCGCTGGCCTGTGAGGGAAACAATCTCAGCCTCGAGGTTCTTCTTGTCCTTCTTGAGGGTCTCGACAAGGACAGTCTGCTTATGGAAATCGACATCTAGGGCAGCGAATTTCTGTGATAGTTTAGCAAAGGGTTATGAAGTGGAAGGACTCGAAGCACGTACGTTCTGGGCTTGGACAGTGAGGTATCCAGCTTGCTCAATGAAGGCCGCTCCATGCTTGAGGGTCTCAAGAAGAGTCTTGGGGAAGGGCATTGGGTCGAGCACACGGGGAAGAGTAGCCTGAGGCTGAGGGAGACGGAACTCGACCTCCTTCTTGGTAGGAGGGACCAAGTCGTCGGAGTCAAATGAGCTACATTGACGGTTATCATCACAGCACTTGAGTAGGATTCGAAGTAACACTTACTGCGCCTTGGGCTCAATCTTAGCCCTGAGGTTCAGTTCGCCAACACTGACCTGCTTTCCGCCCTTCTTGATCTCAAGGCCAAGCTTCTCGGTCTTGCGGTTCCAAGAGCAGGTGAAGTCATGGACATTGCTGAAGGCGAACTTGGAGACCCTATCATCAGAGCTGATGAACTTCAAAGGGGCTCCCTTGAAGGCAGTGGTCTTGGCCTTGCCCGCAGAGTCCTTGGTCCACTGCCACGAAGATATGACAGGCTTGCCATCCTTGTAGTCCTCAGGGAGGATAACGATGGCCTGCTCATCAACAGCACTAGCACCATCGTCGAATTTGATGCTTCCAGCCCAGATTCTGAGAGCAGCATCGTGGTCAACCTTGCCCTCAGGCTTCCACACTCGGTTCAGAGTGAAAGTCTTCAGGGTACCAGTGCTCGACATATCAACCTTGACCTTGGCATAGTTCTGCTCAGTGGTGATAGCAAAGTCATACTTGGCGCCGGAGAGCTTGAAGGAGATATCAGTGGTGTTGGAAAGCTGCTTGACATCTGAGACGACGATGGACTGGAAGAACTTGGCCTTTAGGACTCGGTTCCAGTCCTTGGTCCACTGGGTGAACAGGTAGACGGGGTCATTGGCACGAACGACACCGTGGGGGAAGATGATTGTGAAGGTCTCGTTCTCAGCATACCCAGGCCAGTCAAAATTTCCTTGGTAGACGAACATTGTGAAGAGTAGTGTGAGATTTGGGATTAGAAGAAGAGAAGGATGTAGGTAGGAGATGTAGTAAAGAGAAGAAGCTGGTGTTGATGATGAACCAAATCTGTAGGAGATCAGCGCAGCTTTATAACCTTCACTATTGCTGCATGAGTCCTTCTTCACCACAAACTAGTAGTTTTCCCCTCAGCTCTGGCTGCAGAAAGTATTGAACGCAATAGCGCAACTAGTACGAGAACTCATCACATCCCCTCCACCTCGCCCTCCCGCGCAGCATTCCGCATGGCGCTTGTGAAACCATAAAGTCAACCGTGTGGCAAGCTGAACTCCCTCGACCATTCCCCATCGCGCGCCAAATCATAAGCCCAACACCACGCAATCCCCTCGTGGCTAGCTGTACGGCTTGAGACATTGATCCTTATCACCAGCCCAAAAGTTCAGCCCTCGCTAATGATCCCCGAACGCTCTCTCAAGGCTGAGACAGGCGCTGCTTGGACCAAGCTGAGACGAGACGTTGGAGAGGGAGCCCAATGATAAGGGTTCAATAGCGCGCGCCACGTGCAGGTCCAGCTCGCCACGGGCCGCCGAACGGTTGGGCCCAGACCTCGCCAATCACACAGACTATCTGCCAATAAATTGATCACAGTGCAAATTTAGCGATAGTCTGCGGCGACGTTGCCATTTTGGAGCTGGGGCTTAGACAGGCCGGGCTAGAACGCTGCGGCTGATGTGCGCGGGGAAGACAGATTAGGGATGGAGCATGCCAATTGGGGTTTCAGAGGCCAGCTGAGCTGCAGCGCTAGATTGAAAGAGTTTGGAGGACACGAACTACAAACACGAACGGCAAGTCTGAGGGGAAGAATTCGAGAGTATTGAACTCTCTGGAAGTGATCACGTGTACAGAGGAGAATTGTGCGATGGTGGTGAGAAAACCTTGAAAATACTGGGTGCCCTACCAATGTGGGTCCTACGAATAACTTCACTTCAACCACCATCGTTGACTCGACGAAACAAATGAAAGACACGCGAGAATGCCAACAGCTCACAGAAAGTTTTATTGAATCGCGTTGAGTAACTCAGTTACTTATTTAGTGAATTGTCTGCATTTTCCCACGTAGGTAGCGATCCAGCATCCCCAATTGCTTCAACCTCTCTCTGCATTACCGCAATCTCTTCAATCCCGATGTCTCCATGCCTGAGGCGGTTTCGTTTTTGCCTTCATCTCCTTCTCAATCTTCCTTTCCAGATGCGATGACGCACTCATCATTGTTCGCCTTAAAGATCAGGCAAAAAGTGAGGCTCCTTCTTCGTTCCTGAGCGTTATTCTCCGGTAGGCTGAGTGCCTTCTCGATTCGATGCACCGGCCGAAAAGCTCCGAGGGCTTCGTGTCGCCCCGCTTCGGATATCTTTCGATCGAGGAGACTGAAGAAAGGTACCTGCCGTCCAAAAGACTGCTTGTTGCCTGGGGAAGAACTGTTGCCTTGCCCCAATTTCACTCCGGTCTCGTTTTTGTGCTCGCGTTTTTGGCGAGAAACGGGGGGTTCACATTGTAATTTGGAAATATCGCTCGTGTCGGGGCCGCATCTCTTCGTGTTCCAATCGCAGTTCTTTGAGAATCCTTTGTCCTAGCCGTACTGTGGTCTTACACATCCAGGGCGTCGGTGCAGGTGATCGCTGTAGGGTTTCTTCCTTCCTTGTGAAGATGACCTTCCCGCAGTCCCGAATTGGACCTTGTCTTGCCAAGAGGTTACGTACGTGTCTCGTCGTTGTGCCTTCCCCTATGCGCAGTCTCGAGCGTGTGCCAAGAGGTCAGGAGCTAAACTCTGCGTTGAAATTTGATGTACAAGATCTCATTCAGATGGTCATTTGTGTGCGCTGCTTCTGCGACAATGTTAAAATGAGGCACTGGCCCTCGACGCATTCATCTTTTTCTCATTATCATGCATTGGGTCTGGACTCGAGGACCATTGCACGCTGTCTTGAGCGTTCATCAAGGTGCTCGCACATGAACGTGTTTCGATGTAGGAGGCTCCTTCCTCACTGAAGAGGGTAGGTGTAGGTGACCAGGCCGTTCGATCTTGATGGCGTCATCGGTCGATGTCGGTGTTCGGAAACCTGCCCGCCTTCCAAATTCGATCTTGCACTTGCCGCTCTGCTCTTGATATTCATCGTCTCCGGAACGTGGCTCTTGAACCAGCCGTCTTCGCCTTCTTCTTCTCTTCATACAGTTGAGGCTCATCGGTTTAACTACCGAAGCCGCCGGCCTGTTGACCAACCCCTCGAGGTGCCAGCGCAGGTGTCGCGATACAGCAGTAGAAGTCTCCCGCCGTAGGGTCCGATCGAGTCTACAGTACAACTTTTAATTTCTTATCACTGCTTGCAGTTTTGGCATTAAATGAGTCGTGTCTCTATGCCTCTCTCGTTTTTGCTGTCTCGTTGTGAGCCGTCATCTTGACCGTTGTTCGAACGCACGCGCGTGTCTTGCTGTCCAAGGTTCTTTCCTTCTTGAAGTGCGTAGGCAAGCAGATCGTTCGATTGGCGCCACCTGTCGATGTTAGTCTTCAAACACCTGCTCACCTTCCAAATTGGATCCTGCACCTGCCTCTCTGCTCTTCATGCTTCTGAAGTCGCTCCGGCGTCGGGGAGGAGCGGGAGTGCTCGCAGATGGGGGTATAAGAGGCCGTCTCCCCCATCTTCGTCTTCGTCTTTTCTTTTCTTCTCTTCATACCTTGTACTGGGTTGTGTGTCTTGGGACTCCGACCTTAGCCGGCCTGCAAGCATCAAAGCGGCAAGGTTGTGCGCCCTGGGACAACTTGCGCTAACCCCCCAGTGGCGCAGAAGGTGAGTCCGGCACAATTTTTGATTTATTCTCACTGCTTGCAGTTTTGTCCACTCTCGCCGTTTCTCTGACTTGTCAGTTGATTCGGTTTGAATCCTTTTTTTTCATTGCATTCACCGGCTTGCTGGTGGTGTGAAGAAGAAAACCTTGCCTTGTGATGTGAATGATGTGTGATGCGCCAAGTTGCCAATGTGTGATCGCCAACCAGCCAACGTGAGATGTGTGATGTGCCAGTGTGTGATGCGCCAACTTTCCCATGTGAGATGTGTGAAGTGAATAATGCGTGATATGCTTCCGTACTCATGTGTGATGTGTGATGTGCCGGTGCCCAATCATGATTGCTGAGGATGGAACTTTGATGGCTGTGAAGATGTGCTGAACTGCGTGTAAAGAGTAGAGAGGGAATGCAATGAAAAGTGAATGAGTGAATGCAAGACCGAGGACTTGAACAAATACAAGAACTGATAAATGAGCGAGATGAAAACGTCAGTAAAAATACAGATGAAGAACTGGAGGGACGAGGGACGCGAGAGATGCTGTATTTATAGGCAAAATCGAGAAACAAGCTTTCGTGGGAAGAGATCAAATGGCCTCTCGGTCAATATTTGGCTTTACGTTTGTCGGTGACTCATTGGAGGCATCCGATGACACTTTGCTTGCAGAAGTTTGATGGAGCGCCCGCCACGTCAGTGGTTGCAGAAAGGATGCTGGCGATGTGGACGAAGGATCAGGACGAGATGCAAAGCTTGCTCGTCACTCCAATGATCGCTCGACGCTGAATTCGTTAATTCAAATCTTTGAACTATGATAGAACTTGATTCCATCGCTGAACTTTGATGGATTGATGCGGGCGATAGGTGGCTGACCAGGGCCTTGGCAGCTGGCGAGACCTGTCGACGATCGAGGTCCATGACAACAAACCACAAACGAGTCCCATCAAAAGCTCTTCAGCAACGACCTCGAGCCGCCCTCGCCATCAAATTTCCATCTACAGTATTCTAGGCCGTAACGAGCGTCTCCCGTTTTGGTGTTGTTACGACGCCCTCTTCTCCCAGCGAACAAACTAGAAGAGCGGGTTGGCAACTGGTGACACTTGTCGGAGGCGAACAACAGATTACTCCCATCAAGCACGACCTCTCGCCACCTGTAGCATCAAACTTTCATCTACAGCGCCCTCAATAGTAGCAAGCCTCTATTGTCAACACGCCGCGTTGCGTCATTCTGCGGCCGACCCGAAAGCCTCTTCCATCGACCACCGAGCACACGACGCCCTCGTTTTCTCGGCACCAAATTACAGACAATCGCTACCAATCTGCGCACCCGCATAAGAACGAAATTGCCGAGAACCGAGTCGATTCTTCAAGGATGATGCCACCATGTCCACGACCTCCCCCGCTCGCCCATGTCGACTCGGAGCGGAGAATGACCAACGCGAACACGATCCGCCTGCATCACGCAGCTCCAACAGAACACGAGCCTTACCTTACTTCTTGCTCTAGAAGAAAGCTTTCACCCGTACCCTTGCCCTCATCGCTGGCGGGTCTTCCAGGCGGGCCCAACGCGGATGCCGACCGGCGTGGAATCAATTGATCACGTTCGAAGCCTAAAGAATTACGAACCAAGCGTGACGGGAGTCACATTTCACGCTTCAGATTCTACAGTGGAATAAAGAAGAGTCGATGGTGAGTATCAGGAGAAAGAGATACATGGTCTCGAGCGCGGCATCCTGTTTCCATCCAAGCCCCCAATTGACAGCCCTCTGGCAGCATCCACAATCACCACAACATCATCAACGGAGCTCCTCCGTCCTTCGTCCAAAACCCAGCACTGCAGTGTACGGAGATTCCGCACAGCAACGCAATACAGAACCACCGGTTCGACCTCTCCCGCACTGTTTGACGTGAGTCTCAAACCCGCTGCAGGCCGACAGGCTACCCACGAGCAAGCTAGGTTCTCTCTGCTGGAATAAGCTCACAGCCACAAGCCTCAACTGCAAACAACACTTCTAGCCCACAACTTAGACATCGATACCACGATGACTGACCAATGGCCCCACGAGCAAGTATCCTTCCACCAAGAAGTTGTCGGCGGATCAGGAAAGACAGAGAAACACTAAAGAAGTCCGCACATCGCTAGGACAGCAACATTCGAGCCATGTTCTGCATTCACATCGCCGACGTACCCAAGCTTGCCGTTTCCAACTGAAGCGAATACGACAGCGCTTTCCCCAGCTTTAGCGTTTGTTGGAGACGAGACATTTGACTCTTCATCTGTTACATACCAGGCGTCATTAAATGCGACGTTGTCCAAGAATAGAGCCTTTGTGCTGTATGCCGGGACCATCTTTGCAGCTAAACCACTGTCCACCGCTGCGTCATTCAGCACAAACTCCTCTCCAGTGTATGAGGCCGCAGACCACCCTAAACCGGCTTGCGCGAAGAATGACTTGATGTTTAGGGGTAGGACAAAGCTGGAAAAGCTACCCATCACCACCGCCGTCCCACCTCCGCGGACATATCGAAGTACAGCGTGCCGAACATGGCTGTTTTGTTCCTCGGCCAATCCTTCATCGGTTATGAGGACAGCTGTCGGGGGTGGCTCTCGTGAAAACAAGCGGTTTACTGACTCTGTGTCCTCGGCCCTCAAGAAGTCGGCTTTTGGCCAAATTTGGGCCATCAGCGGTTCGAAAACCTCATCTAAAAAAGGCTTATGGCTAAGCGAGATGGCGAGGATCCACGGTTTCTTTGCAGTGTTCTCCATTGTACAAACGTCTGTGCAGCAAGCTTGTCTCGTGCCGTGGTCTTCACAATGTTCAGGGGAAAGCATCAAAGGCTCGAAAACTTCGCTGTGCCTCGTGGGTATGCCACGATGTTTTAGCAATACTATTTGACGCAGGGCAAGTTTCTTATCAAGAGCGGGGACAAAGTTATTGCGAACTAACTCGGAACTTAGTTTCTGGTCAAAATCTTAGCTGGAACCTAAAATCAGACCCTGAATCCTGCGGGCCTGTCACCGACAATCTGCTGAGGGTTTGTATGCTTGCGTCACGGGCCATCTGTTAAGGCGTATTTGCCCGGATCTCGGCAGAATTTAAATTTTATTGCTATTGCAGCTTGTCGGAGGTACCCCTGCCCCAAATTGTCGCTTCTATCTTCAACTGCTTAAGTTCGGCGACCGCCCCAATGAGCGTCTCGACGAATGACATGAGCCCCGAGATACTGGGCATTAGACAACGCCCTTATGTCTAACACGCCTAAGAATTGATTTGCGAGGGTGCAATAAAAGGAGCAGCATATCACTAGACGGTCTAAAGTGTAGACCATAACTATCGACAAATAATAGTTATGTCACTAACTGGTAAAATTGTGATTGTCACCAGAGGAGCCCGGGGATTTGGCAAAGGTATCGTCCTGACTTTGGCGAGACAAGGTGCAAAGGTCCGTCCCAATCCATTCCAGTCATGACAAAAAGCAGCCTCCCTAATAGAGTCTTACAGGTAGCTTTCGCCTACGTGTCGCCATCATCAAAAGCACGTGCAGAAGCTCTGGTGCGAGAGATTGAATCACTTGGCCCCTCTGCCCATGCAATCCAGGCCGATGCAGTGTGTCTCTCCTCTCCAGCAGCAGTCATATCCTCTAGTCTGACCGCCCTCAACGTTTCCCACCTCGACATCCTCTTCAACAACGCGGGACTCGGGTCTGCAGGCACTCGCGTCGGATAAATCACCAGTGAGGGGTTCGACAAGATAATGGCCGTTAATGTTCGTGCAGTCATCTTTATGAGCCAAGCGTTTATCCCGTACGCCAGTCGAGGCTGACGTATTGTTAACTTGTTCTATATCTCGGCGTGAGGCAGCTACGCTACTCAGTCTGTCTATTCGGCGTCCAAGCCCGCCGTTGAAGGTCTTGCTCGTGTTTGGGCAACGGTCTTGGGTCAGAGATACAATGTAACCGTCAATTCCGTCAACCTGGGGTCTGTGGAAACAGACATGTGCCGAGCAGCTGGGGAAACCCACCTAGCCCGGATGGAGGAGCAAAACATGAAAACACCAGCAGCTACAAGGGGCAAGCATTGGGAACCATGTAGCAGATATCGTCGTATTCCCCTGCAAAGAACGGCTAGATGGGTCACAGGGGATGTTGTCTGTGCCATTGGCGGGTTGCTGTATACCTCAACTTTGAAGTATAGAAGTGGCAAGTATCCAACATGAAACTCAGAGAGAGGGTACTTAATAAACAACACTAAAATGAACCCGAAACGTCTGCCAGGCTTTCAACCAGGCATCCAAGCGTGCCATTCTGAATATGGCCCCGTAGAATCAGAACTCTCTTGCAGCATAACCCCCCCGGTGGCATCGAGTAGTTCGGCATCTGAAGAGCTTTGGGCATATAATGGAAACGGCATGGCCCGCTCGACGAGGAAGATCAATTTCCGGTTCTGCGCAGTCTCCCTGTGCGTAGTAGAGGCCTGATCCTGCGTAGTCAGCTCCCAGATACCAACAGCAGAGCTCTGAAGACTGCTGTCGGCCATTGGGTCTGTAGGTGTCTCAAACAAAGACAAGAAAAGTTGATCTAGAATGTTGAACTAATGATTGAAATAGTTCTGCAACGAGAAGGATGTGATACAAAGTTGCCTCTTCAAGATACCTCGGGCGCGAAATGCCATGCTGTTGGTGACTCCAAGATTGGATAGGCAGTCAACAGCTCGCTTCAGATGGCCTTTCCACGTCGTTGCAAGAGTGTGTGTTCGGTCATATATGTAACAGGTTGCTTGTAAGGATGTAGCTATGATCAGGCAGTAGGTGGCATACCAGCCAAGACCCCGTAGGTGCTTGGGCTCCCTCTCGAGGTAGGCGCAAATAAACTCGACACACTTTTCAGCCACATCAAGACACTCTGAAATAGGCTCAACCGATTTGTCGAGAGTTCCCTTGTCTCTAATGGTGCGAAACAAGATTGGTCTGTTGAGTATGATATGGAGGTGGAAGGACCGCCATATGAGAATGTGCTTTGGGATCTCAAACCATGTCTCTAGCATTGCGTTTTCACCGAAGTATGGGGGGAGATCCCTGCGCCAGTGCGCGATACTCCTGTCAAGTGTCACTGCTCTTTCATGACCTGGTGTCTGATGAGGAAGAAGTTCAACCTGAACCATATTGGCGATCTGTGCCAGCTTGGCTAGCTGGACAAGACAAGCCGTTATTCTGGAGCCGTCCCTGCTATCCGGAGGGCTTTCCTTGTCCACAACGAGGTCCTGGTCATTGAGGTTCGAGGGAGGCCGAACGTTGACACCAACTAGAGATGCGGGAGGTCTTCCGAGTGTCAGTTGGGCCCCAGATACAAAGACAAACAGTCCACCATGCCCTTCTACGGATCTCCATCATAAAGAGGCTGGAAGACGGCAAGTGAACTCGCAATGAAGACCGATTACCAAAGCCATACCCCAGCCGATTCCGATAAGGGCGAAGCCTGAATTTGGCTTGTTTTGCTTTGCAGGTCGTTGGCTGTTAGCACAAGTCCTTGGACATAGCTAAGAGATCCTTTCTCCAGGATATCCATAGTCAGACTCTGGCGAGCTCTCTTGTAAAGTCGTACATCGCTATCTGAGGCATGCCTCGACAAAGGCTCCAATGGCGATAACTATGTTATATAGGAGTGGCCAGCCAGGAGGTTGGAGATGGCTCTGCTCCGATTGTCATCACGGACTCGGACGAGAATCGGCTAGCCAAAGTAAGGTCTCTCGTTGCTAAGGCTCGTACAGTGCTTGTTGAGCGAGGAGTGGATGCTGTGGATTTGGGCAAAAGGATTATAGATACTCTAGGCCAGGAAGCACGACTGGTTTTGGAGTGTACAAGTTTTAAGTCCAGTATACATGCTGCCATTTATGTAAGTACCCCAGGAATTACTATACCCAATGCCTTACCTCAACTGACACATGTTCCCAGGCTTCAGCGTTTGGCGATGCTGTGTTCGTTATTGGCGTCGGCAAAGACTTCCAGAATATCCCGTTCATGTATCTTTCCTGAACAGAGATCGGTCTCCGCTTCCAGTATCGTTATCATAATACTTATCCCAAGGCAATCAGCCTTGTGACCGGAGGATTGACCAAATTGAACCTCTTGTTACACACCGATTTAGACTCGAGAGGGTGTCAAGGCGTCCGATGTTGTTTGTTGTTGATGAAGTAGCAGCCACAGAGGCCTGATGGATCCATCTCAAAATACGCATGTCTTAACAGTCCATTAGCCTTTCTTTAAAATACCTGGATCGACGTTTCTGTTGATGTTTAATAGCGGCAGTATTTCGACAGATATCAGTGCATATCGGGCGCCCTTGTCGTCAATTTGGGAGGTACTACCCCAAATATTGTATATGTAAGCTTAAATTAGTAGACAACTTAGTATGGTTTATTTGGATAGTAGGCATCCATATGCAGGGGACCCCATGGCACTAAACCTGGCTAAGAATTGACTCTCGGCCAACCCTGGGCTTAGTCTGGCAACCAAAAGGAATTATTGAATCATGGCGTTCGATAGAACAAGAAATATTTGCCAATGCTCCGTTCAAATCACCAAATAAGTTATTACATAAAGGGGCATCCGTCCTGTTTTCTTCGCTTTCTTATTGTTTCGGTCATACTCACTTTAGTCATTCTTTATCTGCGATAATGCGGTCTCCGACTTTCTTACGCCTAGCCTTTGGCCTGCTGGCTGCGGGTTGCGCGATTGCAAGCCCGTGCAAACCGAGTGAGTGAAATCCATAAATATTCATGCAGCTTCCTGACGTTGTGATTAGGCTCAGTCGCGACCACATCTGCAGGCTCACCAACTATTTCCACTGGGACTTCATCCGAAACGTCAACTGCATCTTCTACTACAGATCAATCAGCAACAACTTCTGTTCTGTCCGAGTCGGTTTCTGGAACTTATCCATCTTCGTCCGTCGAGCTGTCTGCTTCCGTCACATCGCAGATGTCAGAGACTACTACAGAATTAAGTACAATCGAATCGACCACAGCAGAGCCTACCACAATCGAGTCCACCACCACTGCGGCTGCCTCAACGACTGAGACTATCCCTGTGCCAACCTTTAGTCTGTTCGCTACTGGCCAAGGCCCCGTAGAAGAAGAAGGTCTTCATACCTACGACAGCGACGGCTCTGTCGCCGTGTTCGACCCCAACCCCATCTTTGGCGACGCTTCAGTACGACCCTACATCATCGACTCACAGGGAAGACTTGTCAACGACCAGGGCTTCTTCCTTTGTGGATTCTACATCGCTACCAACGTCAACCTCGACTCGCCCGCATCAGTTGGGACCTGCACGAACTCTGGACCGAAAAAGGCTTTTCTGAACTGCCAACTTTCTGCAGACCTCGCAATCGAATGTTCGGTCCCTGGCCGGTCTTGCGAGGCGAACATGAATGGTGAGCCTTTGTGTCAAGAGACTGGTGAACCATGGAGCGTTTGGTCTGTTGGCGCTGTGGTTGTGGGTCATGGTTTGTTTATTGGGCCAAGCGACACTCCAGATTCTTTTGATCGTATTGGGTTGCGCGTTGAGGAGGTGTAAAAAAACCGAAGGAACACGGGCAGTAGTGTGTGGCCGCTAGCTTGAAGAGCTTGATGGTGGGACAGGTCATGGATGGTATTGGAGGGAGTTTTATAGAGGGGATTACTGTATTATATTTATAACTTTCACTTCTGTATTCTAGCAGGTACTCTATATTAACCAGTCAGGCGGGTTAAAGATTAGATGTACTATAAACACTATTTCTGCCTCCAGAACATTCTGTCTTACTCAACTGTCGGGGCTGTAAGTGCTTGGTTGGCCAGAAATCAGCAGGCCACTGATTATGAACTTACCCCGCCTTCTTCACTTCCCTACGTCCAGACTTGCTGAATTCACCAAGTTCAATCAACAGCAAACTGAACCACTATGGCATCTGCTACTAGATTCAGACTCGTCTTCAACGTGCCCACAATGTCACTGGCTCAATGCAAAGAGGCCATTTTCGCTGCTGGAGCAGGTCGCTACCCCGGTCCAGGTAACTATACCGAGTGTTGTTGGACCGTCATAGGGACTGGCCAATTTCGCCCTGGCGATGCAGCCAAACCCCATCTGGGAGAAGTCGGCAAGCTGGAGGAGGCCGAAGAGGCCAGGGTTGAGACCATTTGCGTGGGTGAAGACGTCGCAAGAAATGCTGTCAAAGCTCTGAAAAGGTAGGCGATTTTACGCCATCACAACATTACACGCCGCTTATGCTTCTCAGTGCTCATCCCTATGAGGAGCCCTCCTACTCCGTGTATCGACTAGAGGACTTCTGAAAGAGAGCTAGATAATGCGATTTGTTGACAGACTAGCTGGGATTGAAGGCAGTAGAGCAAGGCTTGGTTAAAGACCAACTGTAAATAAGATGACGAATGTCTACTACGGGTTAAGAGAAGTTGAAGTGATAATGGAAGAAAGAGAGAAACGAGACTTCGGTTGGATAGTCTTCATCAAACGCCTCATAGAATCCTACGAGTGCAACCGCGAATCCTATCTGTAATGTACGTCAGCTGACATGACGAATCGAGGAACTAGTGTGTCGTTCACTGTCAGCACGGCTTACCATACCCGAAGATTGCCTCTCGGCTTTCTATTCTTCTATAATTATTAGAAATTCAAGAACATGTCTCATAAAACCATTTCTAACGTTGTGATCGCTGGTGTAAGTTTGTCTCCTCACCTACAAGGCCTGTGTTGACATCTACAGGGCACCGGGCGTCTCGGTCCACCGACCATCAAACACCTCGTCAAAAACGGCTTCAGAGTCAGCGTGCTGACGCGCAATTCATCTTCTGCCAAACTCGCACCAGAAGTCGATGTCATAGAAGCAGACTACACATCAGCCAAGACCCTGACACCAAGCCTTGAAGGTCGCGGGTTCGATGCCATTCGTCATCATTCTCAACCGCCTCGCGTACGACGCATCGGTGATTACATTGCAAGCAGCGGTGAACGGTGGTATTTATCGAGCCATCCCATCATTCTTTGGTGTTTCTCTCGACAATCCCGAGATAGCCAACATGCCGTTCATGAAGACCAAGCTGCCAGTTCTGAACGACGTCTTGGCAAAGACTGACATGTGAGAAATTACATACACAGGTATCAACACTGGCATATTCCTGGATTGGGTCCTTGATGAAGACATATTTGTTGGTCTCTCGGGCAAGGCACCAACTCGTGTGGCGGACGGCGGAGACATTCCCATGTCTGCTACTGCTCTCGATGATATCGGTAAAGCAATCTCTGCTGTGCTCTTGAAGCCCTATGAGACAGTTAACAAGTTGTACTACATACACACTGTGGTTATGACACAGAATCAAGTCTTGGGTTATGCCCGCGAGGCTGCCCCGGATGCAGTGTTTGCAGTTGAACAAGTCGACACGAAGGTACTCGTCGAAGCTGCGTGGAAGCGGTACAACGAAGGAATAAGAGACCGAGTTTCGGTTAGGGACTTTGTTATCAGAGCGAGCTATGGTATGGGAAATGGATTCTTTCCAAAGACTGACAACGAATTTCTGGGGATTAAGCAGTGGAGCGATGAGGAGCTTAAAGAGGAGATATTCAGGCGCGTGAAGGCCAATCCGCCTGTTAGTCTTAAGGCCACGGAATAGTAATTTGTTCAGCCCCATATCATTGAACCACCCTTTTCGAGTCCCCATTTACCAGTGGTTCATCAGCCAGACTAGTCTTCATCTGAATCTTCCAACACATACAGTTGCTCAAATACCTTCATGCCGCGTTCTCCTGACGCTTCGCTCAGTTTAGACAATCGTTTCCTCAGCGTCAAGTACCGATCCACCTCTACCGGTTCCTCGTATACTAAGCCCTCAGCTGATACGGAAGATAGTAAGTCTGCAAAGGGATCCTGAAATGATGGCTCCTCCGGGTGTAGCTTTCGTTCGCGGAACGAGAGTAACAACAATGCCATATCATCCTGATCGAAACCTGGAAAACATCCCTCTGCAATATGTAGTGCACAATTGACGTCCGCTTTTGTTGTTTTCTGTATGATATACCATTGCAATCGAAGTGTCTTGGCATAATCTGGCCAGTGAGTCCTCACGTGGCCCTCACCGCCCCCTCGCTCCACGTTGATATTGAACTCTGGGTACAGGTTCCACAGTCCAGCATCTATCAGACCTCGCAAAGATAAAGTACAAGAGCGCTTTGAAATGTGAAGGAAGCCCTGCGAAAGGTACTCTCCGTTATTATGGTCTTCATTGAGTCGAAGATCACGAAAGCGGTTCTCTTGATCCGAAAGTTCCGCATGCTTGAAGCAGTTAAGTAACCACTTATCCTTTGCAAACTGCCCCCGTGGGAATTTCGATGTGTCCACCGCGCAAATAGAAATATCATTTTGCTGACTAAACCACGAATTGCAGAATCTCCAATTTGCATACTGGATCACAAATATGAGGGAACTGCTCCAGGAAACAAGGTTGTTGGTCACCCAGGTACCGGAAAGGCCCTTGTGTAAATGCTGATGCAGCATCTCGGAAGCCTCTTGATAGTCCATTGAGAAGATATCGGTCCTGTGGTGATTTGCTTCATCGTGCTGGCTACTGATAGATGCCATGACCTCTTCGTCGTTACGGCCCGTGCTGTTGGCATCGTATGCCCGAAACAGATACCGTGTCATGTGCTTTGGAGGCCTTTTGGCCGAGTCGCCGAAAGCACAGGCGTCCTCTGGTCGAAATAGTGTCGGACTACCAGGGCAATTGCATAGTGACTGGATCCAGAATTTGACCCAATTGTCTTTTTTCTCTTCGCTCTGTAACAGTACGATAATGGCAAGATGCTTCTCTAGATTGAGATCTCCAGAAGGTCTTACAGCTTGATGATAACATTCTTCAGCAGTCTTCCACAAGATTTCGTCGCTTTTCGCTTCTTGAATAACCCCCTGTGCAATCCTCTCTATGGGCTTCTTAAAATGCTCAAGAAGGGCGCCTATGTTGAAGGAGGCCTTGCCGCCTAAGGAAACGACTTGTCTGACAATGTCCTGAATTGCCGCATCGTTTAGGAGTCTCGCTACTCGAACGAGCTCAGCAGCCCTGGCTTGCACGGTGCAGATGAACTCGGCGTCGTCCTGGCTGAAAGGACCATCAGCACGAAGCAGATCAACGACGCTTTCCGCCCTTTGTGACAAAACAACTGCGGCTTCGTCGAAATTGTGTAAGGCATCTTTTAGAGACTTGAGGCGTCCGCCAGTAATGTTCAGAGTACCCATCATACTGGCGATATACCCCATCTGGGCCATAGCGTGTTTTTTGCTGTCGCCCATCTTGAGTACGGTTGGTGAAAGACGACGTATGAAGGATGATGAGAATAGAGTATAGGGATCCGTCTTGGTGCGGGGTTTTATATACGACATCCGCCATGTAAGACGCCAAAGGCAACAGTGTACTTCACCTTTGTGCCCTGGGGGCTGAAGCCTCTTTGAAAACCCTAACCTTACGCCAGAAAGCCTCTTCTAATCTATCAACCGTATCACAGCCGCGCAGATACACCGTAGCCAATTAAAAAAACTATCCTCAAGCCATCCATACTGTGTGATGGAGCTTGGGTACCTCCGATTCGCTCACCACTGATGCTCTACTACCGATTTTGCTTGCTGCAAGGTGAAGTTTACTGAGGTTCTTTTGTGCCTTGGCTGGACACGTCTCCTTGAGGTGTCATAAGTTTCAGCTATTGATCTGCTACCAACTCACGTGAAGGCAAACCACAGGATGCGGAACAAACAGTAGATTCTTTGTTAAATACTAACGCCCAAACCTCTGTTTGGCATCTAAGGACAACTCTATCGCACTGATGAAAGAGCTACTCCATGATACGAGGTTATCCTGTTAATCGGCAGTACAGTGGTTGGATCTGAAGCACTGCTTTGTGAGATGATATTGCAACATATCTGTCACTTCTTCTATATCTAGTGAGAGGATATCTGTTCGCCTCTTCGAAATTGAGTACGCGCCCATGGTTGATTCAAAACGAGTGTAAAGGTCCTCACCCCTCTAAACTAAGTCAAACTCGGTATAATTACCCAAGCTTCTCCATTGTTCGAGAGTCCAGCCTTGCTTGCTACTAGTAGCATCCAAGTTTAACATGCCGCCAAACCTTCTAAACTCAGGTCCAGCAACATGCTGAAGTGCACATTTTCCTACCCTTGAAAATGCTGTTCTAGACGTATCTCTCGGAACTATCACAAGGCCCTGGGAAAAAGTGTTAACTAAATGGGTACGGGCTTTCAAAATCTCAAGATAGTAGCAACTTTTCAACTTGTCCATGTCTGTTGCTACATCTAAAAGAGCGCCAGCTTCAATTTCACAACAATCACTCCGTCCTCGAAAAGTTTGTTTCGCTACAGTTAGACGAAACAAGGCAGATCGGTATTCGTTCTGTCCTACAAAGTAGGCTGGCCAGGGGAAGTCACCAGTATTCGTCGAGTAGCAGTCAACGGCTTCGCATGTGGCTGGTATCAGTCGTCCCCTGAGACGAAGTCTCCCTTTGCGAACGTGGGAAAATGGGGCTTCTGTGTGTAACAGATCTAGTTCTGTATGCAGGAGCTGAATCTTACTTATGTAACGTGTCCGCCCGGGGCACAAGCTTGGCGTTATGCCCAGACACGTATTGCCTGAGATGGATGCCCACGACCACGATGGAAAGTCGGGTGTTTGGTCTCGAATTGGACCCTCTGCCCGCGGCGTCCGAATTCTGTTGTCGCCGCTGGCTTCCCAAAGCAATCCAAATGCGAGGTCGAATTCCCATAAACCCGCCAGATATTTCCCATGTTGTCCATCGGCAAGCTTGGCGACGATTGCGCTGATAGCAGCCATGCGATCAGCAGGGGACGAAAGTCTCCTACTATGATACTCAGCCACGAGAGAGTACCAATCAAGGTCTCCATTGAAATGTAGAAGTTTATGTCTTAAAATATCGGAGCTGTGTAAGGAAACTTTGTTGTAGAACTCTGCACCGTGCGTAAGCAGGACCCCATCTGTAGGCGGCCCGTCTTGAAACGATCCGGAAGGGCAGAAAAAACGAAGGCCCGTATTGCTGTACATAGCCAGTCGTGGGGCGAGAATATGTTCTTGTAGCGTCCAGGCCCGTCTATGAATTGGGTCAGGTGGTCCGGGTTTATAATGGCTTAGAATAACGGATCCCGCATCATTATTCGGACATCGATACCGTAGCCGATAACTTGCATCTGTTGGATGGCAGAGTCGCAAAAACCCTTCGGTGCTAGAAGCTGCTATTGCAGCTGAGATTACAAGTGTCGAAAATCCGTATGTTTGATGCATCGTTCCCAGCTCCTGGGCTAGGTCATTCGGATCGTCTTGAATGATACACAAACTGTCGACCCAAAGGTACTTTATGCCCAGTTTCCTCGTGACTAGTATTGCGTCTTTGATGGACTGCGGTTGGGAGTCAACGCTGAAGCCATGGAGCCTTTCGTGGATGTTTGACATAGTCGTCCTCTCAGGTTGGGAGCCTCCCCAGCAGTAGCTTAAGGCCACATATAAAGATGCGTCAATATCAGACCTATTAGCCAGCCGGATGCGTCCCATTTCTGATGAGCTAACATCAATCACTCGGCTGGGCATGAAGATTTTCTGACTACCAACAGACTGGAGGCAAAGTTCATGGGATCCCATGCACTGACTTAGCTGCCCCTGCAGAAGTCTAAAGCATGATTCACTCTTAAGGTCTCGATTGACTGATCTGGCTGATATCCAAGCGGAGCTTGGATCATCTATCGAGAGACTTAGCAATAAGAAATGGATGCAAGTTGTACAACCTACCTGGGCACGCATGCACAGTGAACTTGTCCTCATATCTTAGGATGTTGGCAATTCTGACTTGAGTGGATACATATTGGACGTCTTGCTTCGTGCTGTCCTTAAAGGCGAATAGCAATAACACTTCGACGGACTGAACACTGAGTATGTCACCGCTCTCTCTACCAGCCTCCAAGTCCCTATTCAGAGACACAGGGAGGATAGATTGAAATAATTGACATCCACCAGAGGCCGCGTCAAAGGCAAATGTCCCATCAACCTTTATAGCAAAGACATTATCCGCCGTAGCGTGTCGTTCAAGCTCACTTGGTCGGACCTCCAGTTTCTGACAAAACACACAGGAATGAGGCCTTGGTTCGTCTGTAGACATAATAGATGTAGTATCCTGTTTCTCCGGGATGGAAGTCGAAGCAAACGTGCTTTAGTCTAGTAATAATAAGACTGCATGTAAAGTTGGGAAGATGGTAGATGCGATAAGAGAAACATAAGAAGCGGGAAATAGGTGTCGAGAAAAAAAGAAAAAGAAATACATACGTTAGTTGGGAGGGGATAGCCCATTAATCCCGCATATGATCCCTGTAGTCAGCATTACCCTTATACCGGCGACTCATACCCGCACAGCCGGCTGTGCGGGTATGATCCGCCTTGACTCTGGGGGAGCGAACGGGGCCCCGTATTCTCTTCGAGCTTTGGTCGTATGTGACATCAACGCCGCAAAATCAGATCAAGACTAGAGAATTCATGATTTAAAGACACTACTTTCCCAGGGTTATGAGCAGCATCATGATCCTACCGCGATAGCCACACGCGGTGCGCCACAAGTCCTTCAACCACTGCCATGATTCTGCCTTGCCTGTCGGCTTACCGGGGAGGAGTCATACTCGTCCCAACTCATGTTATGCTGAACCTGGGTTGAACACCACGACTATAAAGGTCTGACAAAGCCTATTTTCTCCTTCAACACATGAATGACACAGTATCTTTATATCAGCTAGCAAAATGCCCCCGTCTGAACTCAAGACGGCAAAGGGTACTCGCGACTGGGTTGGCCGTGACCTTCTATTGCGCGACCACATTTTGTATGCTTGGACTATCCCATACCCTTCACCCCTCCCTTCGCTTCCATCACACAGCTAATTGATATTCAGTCAGACAATCAGTGACGTTTTCAAGCGTCACGGCGGCATTCCCTTGGACACGCCCGTCTTCGAGCTCCGAGAGGTCCTGGCTGGCAAGTACGGTGAGGATGCCAAACTCATCTACAATGTTGAAGACCAGGGAGGCGAACTTCTATCGTTGCGATATGACTTGACGGTTCCCTTTGCTCGTTGGCTAGCCATGCACAGCAACGTCAAGCAAATCAAGCGCTACCAGATCGCCAAGGTATACCGTCGCGATCAGCCTGCAATATCTCGTGGCAGACTTCGAGAGTTTTATCAGTGCGATTTCGACATTGCCGGTGTGTATGACGCCATGATCCCCGATGCTGAGATCCTTCGCATTATTGTTTAGAGCACTGACGCTCGGCATTGTCATCAAGCTTAACCACAGATGCATCCTCGACGGCTTATTTACCGTTGCTGGCGTGCCCAAAGACAAGATCAGGCCCGTCAGCTCAGCAGTAGATAAGCTGGACAAGGCCCCGTGGGACGAGGTTAAGAAAGAGATGGTGGACGAGAAGGGTCTGGCGGAGGAGGTTGCCGACAGAATTGGTGAATACGTGCGGCGCAGTGGCGGTTTGCGTGAGATGATCGATACTCTCAAGGGGGACCAAGAGCTATCAGCAAACGAACAAGTGCAAAGTGGCTTGGCCGACATGGACCTTCTCGCCCGTTACCTCACAGCAATGGACGTCATCGACAGTGTTTCCTTCGATCTTTCACTCGCACGTGGCCTCGACTATTACACCGGATTAATATACGAAGTCATCACAACTACCTCAGGTCGGTCCACTCAAGTCGGCAGCGTTGCTGCTGGCGGGCGCTACGACAACCTCGTGGGCAGGTACGGCAAGCAGACCGTCCCTTGCGTTGGTCTCTCCTTTGGCGTAGACCGCGTCTTTACCATATTGGACGCTCAACAAAAGAAGAAGACCTCAGATCTCAAGAGCGAGGCCGATGTGTACGTCATGGCAGCTGGTGGGAAAGGCTTTGATGGTCTGCTAGCTGAACGGATGGAAGTGGCGCGTCAGCTTTGGGACGCAGGGATTAGCGCCGAGTTCACTGCCAAAGTCAAGCCCAAGATGCTTCAGCAATTCAACGCTGCTAAAGAAATGCCTGTTACCGTGATTCTTGGTCAAGAGGAAATGGATGCTGGCCAGGTTAGGGTTAAGGATGCCCGGGCCGGTGACGGGGATAAAGTTGAGAAAGATCGAGGCAAACTTGTTTCCAGAGAAAGTCTTGTTGAAGAAGTGAAGAGTCTTTTATCAAAGATCGCGCTGGAGGAAGGTCAAGATTAGACAATGTTGAGGATTTGGAAGTTGGTATGCAATGCGCAAATGCGTTGGGCCAGATTCGCGCAAGACGGAACAAAAGGATGAATACAAGCTACTGTAAAGAGGTGGTTTGTCAGCTCTCTATTGGCCAGCTCCTTGTTCGCAAATTCGTGAAAAAGGCGACCTTGGTCCCTACTTCTGGAGGCACGAGTTGCAGACAATGGCGATCTATAAACACAAAGCAAGAACTTGATGGGTCCTCATATTCTTTTGAACTTTGGCCGCAAATAACAGTCAACGTTGCAATTTCACCTCGAAATAATCTCCAGTAATGCAAAATCATGATTCAAGGCTACTAGTCGTCTGAAGTCGGAGAGATATGAACATGAGTCCTGCCCTCAACAAGAACCGCTATCCTGATAACCCCATCCTTATCCGCTTTCACTGTCTTGTCAAGATACCTGTATGTCTGAACCGGAGCAAGACGAGATATACCCAGGTCGAAGACACCTGCATCAGCTGAGGGATACAGGACCAGTTCTAAGTCCTTGGACGTATGAGATCTTGCTTTGGCGATTAGAACTCCAGGATACGGCACTTCTGAGAGAATTGGGCCTCTCAAGGCCGTTTCAGATGGGCCCTGTCAAGGCTGTCAGCGTTGATCCTCTGCCAATATGGTCTTTTTGACGTACCTTTTGAACCATTCGGTGATATGCCCCAGGCCGGATGATAGAAGCTGTCAAAGCAGCCTGATTCATCAAACATGACGCGTTCTCAAGGTCAAGATGCTGAGACCCCGTCGGTGTTGTCTTAGCACCCCATGCTTGCTCAAATTTCTTCACACAAGCCTCTTTCAACTCCTCATCACCATATTCACCCGCAGCAATAGCCAGCTGGGTATACATAGCATAGTCATTTGACCGATAATTGCCTGCATCGATCTTATCCGCTCCCACCAGTCCAGTCAGCGAAACCTCTTTCGTCTTTGTATCAAACTGGACTGTCTCGTTCCGAATGATGGCCCAAAGACGTCTGGAGAAGTTGCGCAGGGGCCCGCATCCCATCATGATGGCAGCCAAGTCTCCTGCTGCACCGCACAGACCGGGAATAGTGAAGCCTGTCAACTCGGAGCGTATGGTCAAGACACTACCGCTAGTCTCGGTGAAGTTGGTATTCAGCGATTCTTCGAAAATTGGTAATAGGACTTCAGTTGACTTTGTGCCAAAGACTCGATCGTAAAGAACTGCTCCTGTCATGCCTTGCAGATTGCACATGACGTAGATCCAATTTGGCTCACACGAGATAAGACAGTATGGACTAGCAGACCATTGTCGCACGAGTGTTTCCTGGATTTCATGGAGACTGTATCGAAAGATGTTATTGTCGTCAATGTTGAAGACCAGACTTCCAGGCTTGGTATATCTCATGTCACCTGTATTGGCGGTATAGAGCATAACTCCCTGAAGTAGGAACCCCGTGACCATGATATTGTCTTTCTTAACTGGATCCCAATCGAGTGAGAACTTTCCGGTCAAGCGCTCCCACTTCCAGAAGTTGAGAACTTTCTGAGTCAAAGACCGCTCAATGACTCTCTGGAAGGCTTCGTTGACGTAACCGTGTGCGTTTGGGGCGTAAATGGATTGGTAAAGACCAAGGACAAACATCATCTGGTAGATCTGGTACCGAAGAGCTGCAGTCTGATACTGGTCGACGATAGTAAAGCCTGACCAGTCATCAAGACTTTGGAAGGCTTGATCGAACAAATACTGTAACTTCCTGAGACTCTCAATGCTCAGTTCTTCATCTTCTTCCCTCTTGGAACCAGCGGCGACGAGTTTGTCTGTCTCCACAGCCTGGCGCAGAATGAACTCGTTTCTCGCCGTTCTCTTCTTATAGCCTCGATGCCTTTCAACTCTCGATGAGGCATTGGCGTATAGGAAAGTAGTGAAGAGAATACCGGGGGCCCAATAACCTGAATTCTCCCAGATGGTATCTCCTGTAGTGAAGTAGGCGCCTAGGACAGACAGGCCCCAGACCAGGAGAGGAAAAAGGATTGCTCCGGCACCAAACCACTATTGTTCCAAGTCAGTAATGCATAGACTGAAATGATTGTAACAATGAGATGGGGCTAGCTTACGGCAAAGAGAGCGAGTGGGATGCTAGCCCAGGTCAGCACGAACAATATTCCACTAAGGACATTGGCGCTCGCGAGATATCCGGCTCCAGGGAATATCAGTCCCAGAGCTGCAGCCCTGTATTTCGGCCCAACATCAACATAGTTTTGGAAAAAGATACCAAAGCTAACAAGAACGAAGGCTATCCAAACACCGAGCGTGCGTGCCTGGACGTTCTTGCGATGAGGGCCCGAGCCAACATTCGGCGGGATCAGATCTTTCACATATGGCCCTGCACGTCTCAGCAACTTCAGCTCTCTTTGCGCGGATTAATTAGCACATACCTGACGTCCCATAGGCTTGTCCATATTGGGCACTCGACTTCGAAGTACCCATGATTGACGGTGATGGCAGGAGAGTATTCTGAATCAAGACAGAGTGATTCTACAGTCTGGCGGAATTTGGCTGTTAAACATGCCTTTCATATCCATAAATCCGGGGTATTTTCCGACGACCCCGGGCTTTGCGGGGTTGTGATCGTGGGTGACCTAGTCATTGATTTCTGACTATCCCCAAGCTAAATGGTATATGTGGGGAGGTTGTCAGAACTCCATGACTGGACAACACAGCCAAGATATTTGGTCTAGCACAGACAAATTCCCCCGCAAGCTATCCTTTCCTCGAGATCCAAATTTTTACTCGCCGTTCCTATCAAATTTCTTCGCACAATCATCGTCAAACGCCACAATGTCCAAAGAAATCACATCCCCGCGACCCTACACCTCCGAAGCTGAATGTCTTCAATACCACTCTCAACTATTCAAGACCTTCGCCACCGGAAAGACCAAAAGCATCAAATGGCGAAAATGGCAGCTCAAGCAAATGTGGTGGATGCTCGTCGACAACGAAAAGGCCATCGTAGAAGCATTAGCAGCTGATCTCGGACGCCACGAGTTCGAAGCCCTGACATCAGATCTTCATGGCTTAAAGGCCGATATCCTCGACCATCTCAACCATGTGGAACAATGGCTGCTGAGGAGCCAGTATCTTCAGCTGGATTCCTCATGGGAACACTGGGAAAAGCGCGGATTCGAAAAGAGCCTCTTGGTGTTGTTTTGGTCATCGGAGCATGGAATTTTCCATTCCTGCTTACGTTACAGCCTGTTATTGCAGCTATAACTGCTGGGTGTTGTGTCGCCGTCAAACCATCCGAGTTATCAGTTGCGTCTCAGAACCTCATGCAAGATCTTGTGGGGCGGTATCTCGACCCAGAAGCCATTAGACTCGTCACAGGAGGACCGCAGGAAACAACAAAACTGCTCGAACTCAAGTTCAATCACATCTTCTTCACCGGTTCGACAAAGGTCGCGAAATATGTTGCTGCAGCTGCAGCGAAACATCTCACCCCCACGGTTTTGGAGCTTGGTGGTCAGGGACCGGCGATAGTGACAGCAAAAGCTGACCTTGATCTTGCGGCTAAGCGTATTGCGTATGCCAAGTTTCTTAACGCAGGGCAGATTTGTCTCTCGGTTAACCACGTTTTTGTCGATCCAGAGGTTCACGATGCTTTTGTGCAGAGATTGCATCACTGGACTCAACAATTCTCCGGTGGAGAGTCGAGTCACATGTGCAAGATCGTCAATAAGCGCAACTTTGAACGCTTGTCGGGTTTGTTAGAGGATACTTCTGGAAAGGTGTTTCAAGCTTCTGGAAAGGAAGGGGAGAATATGCTGAGCCCAACTGTTGTTACCGACGTGAGCATAGATGGTAAGTCTCTCGGGTCCTCGGTGTAGTCTCTGTCTAATGTTCTCGAAAGATTCGCTCCTAAGTGAGGAGCTATTCGGTCCCATTTGTCCAGTCATCAAAGCGACGTATAAGGATGCGGTGCGCCAGACCAATAGGTAAGTGAACACTCATGACCCAGGTAAATCCACTGTCTCTAACATGTCGCAGTGGTCCTCATCCTCTCGCGATCTACATCTTCAGTTCAGACAGGTCAGAGATCGACTACGGTAAAGTTCCTCGTCAGTAACGAGTGAGATCCTTGCTAAACCTTCACACAGTTCTACAGAACACCATCTCGGGCGGCGTCACCATCAACGATGTTCTAATGCACTACGGGGTACCAGGCGCTCCATTCGGCGGTGTAGGTGACTCGGGTCAAGGTTATTATCACGGCAAATACGGGTTCATGGCATTTACCCATCAGAGGACCATCTTGGAAATGCCGACTTGGATGGATAAGCTTATGGCGTTTCGATATCCTCCTTTTGACATGAAGAATATGAGCAACTTTGTAGTCAAGAATAACTTGGGATTCCGACGAGGAGAGTCGATGGAGGATCAGGTCGTCGGGGGCAGTCGATCATGGCTTTGGGCAGCAACTGGAGTCTTGGTTGCTTCCGCTATTGGCATTGCTGTGAAGAAACCCCAGAGTGTTCGTGGACTATTTTTTTAAATGAGAACAGAGACCATAACGTTAGATAGCCTGTAATAAACAGTAAAGAACATAGTCATTATTTCTTCACCCTCTGCTACAACGGCATCCTGTTCAGATAAAGCATACCAATGCAAATTCTTTGTCCACTTTTGAACAAGCAACGACTGCACCTCAACGACGATCTTCTCTACGACTCAATAATGCAATCCCTAACCCTGCCATTAGCCATTTAGGTTAGTCATCACAACTCTGTTGTCAAACACGACTTGTGTCGGAGTTTACGAATTCCATTCCTAATTCGACCCTAGTGTCTTTCCGCATCCAGCGCTAAAACCCGATGCAGGAGCTTCCGCAACCGAGGATCTTGAGTGTAATTATGCCTCTCATTCTTTTCTGACTGTACTTTTTATTTTCTGTGTCATGTATACGTGACATTACCCGTTTTGTGACTGCTTATGCATCAACGGTCACTAGATCACCTGCCAAATTCTTCACGTGCCAATGTCTCACCGTAGCAGTTACTACTCAAGGATCGCCTCTGATCCGTCGATACTTTGTCTCGTCACCTAGCAGAAATCCAGCTCAGACACAATGCTTCCTCCTAACGCTACCAACTACGTTTCATCTCTTCTCTCAGAAGCTCATGAGCTCTCACAGCCATTACTTGAGGGACTGTCAACCTCTCCACTCACAATACCCGTTTCATTGGCCTCTGCACTAGGTCTCGGCTACTTGGCAAACAAGATTCTTGTCAGCAGAGCTTTAAACCACGGGACGACAGCGTACTTCGATTGGAACAAGGAAATTGTGCTGGTGACTGGCGGATCAGGCGGCATTGGAGGCGAGACTGTTCAGCAGTTGGCTAGCAAGGGCATTCGTGTGGTTGTTCTCGATGTACTTCCTTTGACTTACAAGGCTCGTGAGTTACCTCTCCCTGTGAAAGACTGGTCCAGCACTTACCATTGGCAGCATCAAATGTTTATTACTATAAATGCGACCTTACGAATTACGAGCAACTACAGGAAGTAGCTGGCAGAATTAGGCGGTAAGTCTTATGTTATGAGCACTTGTTTATACTTGCTGACTTTGCCTGTTAGCGAGGTTGGCGAACCTACAGTAGTTGTAGCAAATGCTGGTGTCTGTCGTGGAAAGCCTCTACTGAAGGCCACCAAACAAGATATCAACCTGTTAGTATACCATCATTTCTAACCAAGGAAGTCAAATTAACCCAATATCCAGTACCATCGGAGTCAACACTCTAGGTCTAATCTGGACCATCAAGACGTTTCTCCCCGCAATGGTATCCCGCAACCACGGCCATCTTCTCATCGTCGCCTCGCAAACAGGATACTTAGCTACAGTAGGCATCACCGACTACGCAGCTAGCAAATCTGCAGCCATCGCCATCTATGAAGGGTTACATACCGAGATAAAGCACGTACACAAAGCTACCGCGGTTCGCCTCTCATGTGTCTCACCAAGCCATGTACAGACCCAAATGTTCACGGGTGTCAAGTCTGTTCCTGGTATGTCGACTATGACGACTGAGTATCTAGCGAATAAGATCTGTGGTATCCTGCTGAGTGGAAGGGGCCAGAATATTATTGTTCCGGCTGCGGCGGGAATGTCACCTTGGGTTCGTGTGTTGCCGGGCTGGGTTCGTGTTCTTTTGCAAGATGCGGCGGCTCCGGCCTTTACGGATTTGAAGCCCCATGATCCATTCAAACAAACTGCATAAACAGACAATCTATTCTTTAGACAGTAATTCTACTTGTTAGACTTTTGAATCACGAAAACGTTACGCTGCAATTTGCAGATTGGTCCTCTGTATCATAATTGAATCAAACAATACATTCACATAAAATACTACTTAATACTAAGGGGTTATCGAGATGCTCTAAAGGGTCGGTTCCATGAATACGCATGTTCTGAAAATCGGCTTCATGTCAAAAGTCTATTTCCCTTACTATCGAATTTTCCGCTATAGCTTGCCTTACCCAGTACGTTCACCACGGCCCAGCCTGTTCCACTCGATTATCTCAACTCAGTTGCCCGTCATTCACCCTTGAGCTGTTCCATAGCACAACGACACTGCTTAACCCCATTCCTATACTAGACCAAACTCTGTACGATACGTCAGTCACCATTGCTCATGAATACTGATATAACTTACGGAGAAGGTGGCCTCATGCCACCTATACCTAGAACCCAGGCCACAGATAAGATATTATAAATAACAGCCCAGCAATGATTCTGGGTCACGATACCGCCCATACGCCGTGCCAAAAGTATCGTCAACGGAATGCGACTGAGCGGGGGACTCTCAGACGATATCAACGTCGCATCAGCACAGTCATCTTCAACAGACTTCATGTCCGAGCCCGCGACACATATACTAAACGATGCAGATGCAAAGCACAAAATGTCGTTGTAGTTGTCACCCACGTATATAGCTGGTCCTTTCTGGAGAAATCGTGCCAAGATGCGAGACTTTTCCTCGGGAAGGGCATTGGCAAATACCATGTCTGAATCAATGCCTATTTCGCGAGCGACGGAGGTAGCTGAAGCAGCGTTATCACCCGTGATCATTCCGATAGTTAGACCGAGGTCTTTGAGTTGTCGTACAATTTTGCGAGCATCAGGGCGTACTTTGTCTTCAAGTACAAAGACGGCAGCTTGCTTGCCATCCATGGCTAGCACAACAGTGGTTGTGATCCCGGTTCTGATCTTCACAGGCGTTTGACTGAGGTCGACGGAAACTCCTAGACTCTCGATGTATGCGCGGCTGCCGATTGCCAACTTCCAAGAGGTGGAACTCGAGCCGGGATGAGTGGCTGTCACAGCCGCTTGGGCGCCGCGACCAAGTTCATGCTTGATTTCGGATACCATCAATGTAGTTAACCACTCAACTTTCTCTGCTAGCTTTGAGTGACTCGCTTGGAAGAGTGCTCGGGCAACCGGATGAGTGTTCCCAGCTTCAACTTCCTGCACAGCCCTCCACAGTATGTCTTGCTTCTGTGATGAACTCCACTCCTCGGAGAAGCTGGCATGCGTGACTTTAAGATCTCCATGTGTGAGAGTGCCAGTCTTGTCAAATAGAATAGTCTGAGCAGACGCGGCGCTTCGTAATCTTGCGTAAGTAGTCACCAACCGGACTCCAAGCTTTGATGCTCGCACTGATGAAACTCTCGGGTCAGCTGCATTCCACTCGAGTCTTTCGGGGTCACATACCTGTAGCTAGCAATTTACAAGTCGGAATGCTCAAGCTCAGGGAACACGGGCAAGCGGCTAGTAGCAGTGCTGAGGCCTGACCCAACCCATCTGCCCAGTCGCCATTTTTGAACACCAAATAAAAGGCGAGTATGCTTGTTGCCATCAGGATAACTGCGCTTGAGAACCATGAAGTCGCACGATGAAGCTGGGGCTCTGAGTTGGCCAGTTCCGCCGTCACGACGGATGCTAGTAGTTGACCTAGGCGAGTAGAACGCCCGCAGGCTGTTGCCCTACAAACGATCGACCCTTGCTGCACTTGACTACCCGCATATACAGCATCGCCATGCTCAACCACTCTAGGCTCCAAAGAGCCGTTGGTCCAAGTCTCTGTGACAAGAGCTGACTCTATGCTCTGGATAACTCCATCACAAGGTATGTGTTCTCCCTGTTTCACAATAACTGTGTCACCGGGAGACAATAGATCGATGGGAATAGAGGCATGTTCATTTGTTTTCTTGTAAACCATGGCCATGGCAGGTACCAGACTTGAGAGCGGGGATGCGAAAACCCGGTTACGCTGGGAGAGGATGGTCTTGAGTAAACGGCCACCAAGGACGCTCGTAGAGAGAATCGGGATCGCCTCTAGGGACTTCAAGCCCATGCGATGATATCCATTTATGGCAGTTTCTAGAGAATCAGACGCAGCTTGCACAAGAGCCAGCATGATACCAAGTGATGCAAGAGTTGTCATATTTGGTCTTCTTCCATGCCATGCAGAGCGGAAGGCCTCGAGATGGAGTTTTGATCCAGCTAGTAAGATCATCGCAACAGCAAAATACGTAACTAGGTTTATGTAATTGTTTTGTGTCGCCCATAAGGTGTTGATGCCGCGTGACGCAAAGAAAAGGACTGAAGCCGTAGTCGCCACGAGAAAGTCCCGTTGACATGAGCTAACATGGTCTTTCTGGAAATTCGAGGGCTCTTTGATCATAGATAACAGACTAGTCCAGCTCTGAGAGTCAGATGAAGGCAGTGATTGGGCTTCGTAGCCAGCAGAGCAGATGGCCTCAATAATGTCCTCTTCTCTCACAACATCACAGTTGAATTCTACTTGCGCTCGAAGTAGTCCAAGTGAAACAGTAGCCTTCAAAACTCCAGGGATCGACCCGATTATGTCTTCAACATCGGATACACACGATGCGCAAGTAAGGCCAACTAGACTCAAGATGCTAACCTGGGTGCCTTTGACTGCTTTTGGTCGTTGGGCGGGGCGACGCTCGGCATGATCTTGGCGAGGATAAAGAGTACATAATTTCTCGTGTATATTGAGAAAACGAAAGACGATGTAGGCTCCAACAGCACAACAGGCCATGATTGTCGACTTTGGAAGTTGACTGGTAGTACGTTCCGGAATCTCAATGCCCAACTAAGAGTAAAGAACAATATGCTAATAATACACTATTCCGACCCCATTCCCATTTAGCTTAAGCGTAGCTTGATGCGACACGCTAACTCTTGCTTGCATTAGACTGACAAGGATATTTCTGACAATGATTTTCCTGACTCCGTCTTTTCTGACTCGATTTCTTCTGACTCGATCAGCCACATCGCGTCACCAACAGTAAACCGTCGCCGAGGGCGCAAGATCTCGTTGCGTAACAGCTAAAGCAGCCACAAGTCAGTTACACAACCTGCAAACACCGTAATCATCACTTACCCGTCGAACAATCCAACTTTGGATATTTCCTTGCAAACTCTTTACTCAATTTCCACTCACAAAAGTCATCCAGGCCCAAAAACTTGGCTACGTCGTTTGCACGACTCTCCTCCACTGGATCATCATCTGGACTCGGCGCCGCGTTTATCTGACGATCTAGCTCCAGAAAGATAGCTTCTTCGACTATATCGTGCTCGGAGGAGTACCATTCTCCAACCTCGGGGCCGATCTGGAATAGTGTCCATGATGGATCGGTGAAGTAACTTCTGGATGGGACTTTTTGATGTTGACGGCGGCGCAGGACTTGGTTTTCGAAGATGTCGAGGACGTTGACTGCGACGCTGTGATTAGCGGGTTCGATGACTGAGTGTAAAACTAGATCTTTGAGGAGTTCGTCGAAATCGGTGGTTTCTGCTTCGAGGACGAGTTGGTCTCTGATCTCGGGCCAGTTGAATAAGTCAATTCCCCAGAAGTGCGTGGGGTTCTTGGATTGCAGTGGTGTTGGTCGGAATGGAAGCGGAACGGAATTCTTGGACTCGATTCCAAGACGCCAACTGATGACTCTTTCGATATATTTAGCCCCGTTCTGTTAGCGTCAGCGTTGGGCCATTGTTGGTGATTCAGTACTGGTCTTACCACTCCATAGGCATACGATTCGAGTCCTGCGCAGCGCATAGAGAAGCGCACAGCAGTCTTGATGATCTTGTCAACCATATCTGCACTACTTCCGGATTCGTGCAGGTTATCCAGATGTCGGCGACAAGCACCAAGCAATCTAGAGCCAAAGATAGACATTGACGTGATACTGAGCTGATTTGGGACGAACAAAAGCGATCTTGGTGATAGAGACGACATGGCTGGATCTAAGAAGGTATCTCCAGGTTGCATTGTGCTCGGAGTTAATGCCTCGTGCTCTTGACCTGCCATGGATAGATCTAAGAGGAACGATGCGTCCTTGAATATATCTGTCTGGTCGGCTTGCTCTGGTATGTCCTGAAAAGGTTGATTGTTGATCGAGGGATTAAGAGCAGGAGGTGATTCGTGATTCACCCCTTCCGTCCTCTGCGCAGATTGCTGTGCTTCGGGGTTTTCAGCATCTCTCCTCCGAAATATAGAGTCAAAGACCTCATCATCTAACGCCCGTGTTAATAAGACCCTCTTAATAGTTGTACAAAAGCGACACTCACCAGCCGCCGCAGTAGCAGCTTGACCGAAACTGAGTAACTTCTTACGCAGCCTCAACAGAGCATCCTCCAGCTTTCGATTCTCAGCTATCAACTTAAGATGCGCATCAAGCAGAACAGAGTACCGATCTTGAGGATCCGAGCCAGTAGCCACTTTCTGCAGCAGCTCAATCGTCTCCTCCAGGTTGCGAATGTATGTGATGTTCTTCTCGCGCAGACACTGTTGCGAGATACGGTTTTGGGCTCTTTTGCGCTCCGTTGGATCAAGGGCGTTGGTGGCCTTTCTTTTGGTTGGAGGCATGACGGATTGAAGTGTTGAGAAATCACTGATAAGATTTGTTTTGTGGAGGCGCACTGGTCTTTATGGTTGCATATGACAAGGGTTACGGGCTTTCGGGTCGCCAGGATCCCCGAGTTCCCCGGATTTCCCCTCAGTAGCCTCGAACTAACCTGAGATCTTCCCCACAGACGACGCGTTTTTCACCCCGGCTATTCTTGATATTCTCCAGATCAAGGATGATAAAGTTCTTACGATTATCATGTCTTGTTTAACTCTCCTGGGCCTTGGAATTTACAAAGTTGATTTATCTGAAGTTTTTTTAAAAAAAAAAAAAAATACAACTATTTACTATCTGATAAAGCGCGCGATCAAGCAAACGTCTGGATGACCTCGTCTCTATGCTTCTCAAGATATTCCGAGAACTTGGTCAGCCGGATAGGATATTTCTCCAATACCTCGAAGTCGACTTGGTATCCGACTTCATTTGCCCACAACTCAGCATAGATCTTGGGGTTTCTCACTGCAAGATCCTTCGCTTCTTCCTCATCATAGAACTCAAGCCCAATTTCCACTCCGCTAACCCGGCTCAGCTCCTGCACGATCTGTGCAGGTGTAAGAGACTCGACACCCAGGTCTATTTCATGCTTGTCGTAAGCTAGCGGTTCAGTAATTGCTGCCGCCGCAAACTTGCCAACGTCGTTTGGATCGACCACCGTCATCGCAGTCTCGGGCTTGTATGCCGACAGAAAGACTTGCCTCTGACCCAATTCGGGAAACATGAAAGATGCCGTTGGCTGATGATAGTTGTTCATGAGAAAAGCCGGTCGAAGAATCGTCCAATATTTGATGCCGGATTCTCGTACCATTGACTCGATCTGGGCTTTGTTCAGCCAGTACCACGCCATGGGGTAGTCAGGGCCCCAGTTTGGAAAGCTTTCGTGCTTTTCTGTCATTGTGACGCTGGAGTAGACTATGCTGGTGACTGTTCCAGATTCAATAGCTGCATCGATGATGTTCTTTGCATGAACCACCTCCTGATTGGTGTCAGGAAACGCCGGCATGACGTTGAGAAACACGGCGGTGGCTCCATTGACCGCAGTCTTGAGTGAAGCTACATCATCGAAATTTCCGGGGAACAACTGCGCTCCGAGACGCTGGAGCTCGATGGCGGATTTGGATGATTGGTCTCGAACAAGTGCGTGGACTTTGACGCCAGCTCTTAGAAGTTGTCGAGCAGTCGCACCGCCCTGAGTGCCAGTTGCGCCAGTGACAAATGCAATAGTCTGGGGCATGATGTGAAAGTGAAAGGTAATGTTTTGGGGCAATTTAAATGATGAAGCAATGGATGAGCTAAGACTTCAGTGTTGATTTTGAAATTTCTCTCAAGAGGTATAATTGAAGGAGGACTGTCATCGTTTAAGTATTTGGCCTCAACAGACTAACACAATACAACAAATTGGATCCGCCTAGCCGAAAGAAGAATACACCTCGATGATGTGGATATTGGCCGGGGTCTCTGGTCGATCACAAATATTACGACATCTACGTAGACGTATTACCCCTCAGGGTTCCGGATTGAAGGTGGAAATGAATACTTCCGCAACTATCACGTTAGTAGATCGCACGCTGTGAATTGCGGATACGTTTGAGGCGGACTCGACTATTCCGCATTCAGTAACCAGCTCGACAGAATTTCAAGGCTAGTCCAGGTTTAGCATGGGGGATTACCAAGCATGGGAGACTGCGCACATCACATAATTACGACACTACCAAGACATCAACCCGAAATCATGCTGTTTTACAAATGAAGGCGTGAGGAACATGGTCTACTGCGGTAAGTCAAGCAAAGCGTGCTCGGAATGCCGAATCAAGCGGAGAAAGGTATGAATCCCAGTCGTCTTATCTTAAGAGATCTTAGCGTGTTAACAAACTGGGGGCTAAGTGTGACTTGTCGAGACCAGCATGTCGTCAATGCCGCAGGGCCGGTTCCAGATGTGACGGATATCGAGGGGAGGAGTCCATGGTCTTCCGAGATCAAACTATTGAAACTTTGGGCAAAGTGTCGGTGTTTTCTGCCGCAAATTTACCCAATGGCAACCAGGACGTCTTGATAAGACCTAAACTATACCAACAGGCCAGAGTCCACCCATCTCAAGATCAGCCCAGCTATTACCCTTGGTTCAGACTTGCGGTTGCTCGAGAAGACCAAGCTCTGCATTTCTTTTTTCACCACTATGTGGTGCCTGAACCTGGACGGTCTCCAACTCATCCCGACTGTCATGGCATCATTTACAAGCGAGCAACAGAACCTGGATACTTGGCTGATCTCATCAATGCTGTCGGACTGTCCGGTCTAGCGTACTCAAAGAACGCCCCTACACTCGTCAATTCAGCCAGAAAGGCATTTTCTCGTGCGCTTCACGGTATATGTGCGGCGCTCGTGGATCCTAGTGAAGCAGCATCCGACCAGATGTTGGTAGCTGTAATGCTTCTTGCGTTATACGAAGTAAGTCTTTCATCCCACATCAGATAGTTTGAGCACTATAATAATCCAAAACAGACCGTCGGTTCTAGTTCTAATGAAGACTTGAGTGCATGGAGTAGACATGTAGATGGTGCCTTGGCGTTGATACAGCTTCGAGGAGCAGGCCAACTACGCAACAGGATTGGCCGGAGTATTTTTCTCAACTTGCGTACTGAAATCGTAAGAGAACCTCAAATATCAACATGGATTGCGTTTCTTACTTTCTGATAGCTTATCGACTGCATCCAGCGTGGCCTTGAAGTACCAAAGGTCCTGATAGACCTAATGGCCGAGGCTCGCAGGAATGAAACAGAACAAGAAGCGCCCGCAGCTCGGCTAGCAGACATTGTTGTCAGTGTATGCACCGCTTTGCCCTCCGCTGATGAAGACATCACGGACGGGGGGGATTCTTCCTCCCACGTTTCAAGACTATTGTCAATCGATGCAGATCTTGAGGACTGGGCTCAAACACTCCCGACCGAATATGGGTACAGGACCCGAACCAAACCAAGCAATTTCTGTGAATCAGAAGTATTTATGGGGCGATATGATGTATATTCCAGCGTGGAGATCGCCAACACATGGAACTTACAGCGCTGTACGCGTATCATTCTCCGTCAGGCAATCGTTGAAGCAATATCGAAATGCTTGCCCATCTCTTCTTCGCTATCGATCCTATCGTCTTTTCCTATGTCATACACAGACCTACTCCTTACTTCAGAAACCATCATACAGCAGAGCTCCAGTGATATATGCTGCGGCGTCCCGTACATCTTGCATAGTGTTGACGAGGCAGGCAAGTCGAGCGAGCTGCGAGCAGCCTACGCTGTGCATCTATTGTGGCCACTTTACGTAGCAGGAACAACGCATACTGCCAGCGGTGCTTTGCGACATTGGGTTGTATCAGCGCTGGAAAACATCAAGGACGTTACTGGGATTCAAAAAGCAAAGCGAATGACCGTGCTTCTCGAGCCTCAATGTTAGGGTAGACTGACCGCCATCGGGACGAATTGAGATACCAAGGCACCAGGTAGACTGAGCGACGCCTAACTTGCCTTATAGAGGCAATTTTGACGAGGGTGTTACATTGGCCCTAGGTCTCAGTAGACCGACTAGGACTTGTAAAAGTCGAAATCATGATGAGGCTAAAAACCTTTGCCTTTTACATCAACAATTAGACCAGAAGACCCCGAAGTCGCCAGGTTTCTTCTTTGTAGCCAATAACTGACGGTGGATCTTTTCCATAGCTACACTTCTTCTATCTCCTAAACTGTTCTTATGGACTGCGATCCAACTAGTTCCTCGCCGTAATTCAGAATACGAACTGAGATAGTATTCTGATGTTACATTGCAGGAGGCCTAATACATCGGTAGATCTATTCGGCTACTTACATCACAAAGTGCTCGACATTTCACTTGCTTACACTAACTTCACTTCCAACTAATGAACATACAGTGACTAAATGAATGTGATTTTATTGACACAGGAATCCTCCAAATAATGGCCACCATTGCTAGATTGAGCATCCGTCAACAGTTCCATGGATTGATGCAGAAGCCTCTGAAGATATCAACGACGACTGAATATAATCGAACCAAAAAACGAGGCAAACTCAATTCTTGGCAAATCGCACATCCCTCCAGAAGGTCGGCCTTAGATCGCCCTTTCCCCAAACCGATCAACTCTATCGGAACTCCACTTGTAATAGTTATCCCACACGTCCTTGAAGCCTCGGTTCTTGAAAGCCTCCTGGATGAGACGCCCCCAGTTGTCGAAGTCGGTTTTCGGCCACGATTCACGACATATGTCGATCGAACCAAAGAAGCTGTTGGAGTACACCTTCGTTCCAACCCAATCCTTCGGGACAAAGCCAGCATAGCGCCAGGAGCTGATGCCCACCAAGCCCTCCTCATTGACTGTGAAAGCAAGCGGATGGACGTTGTTGAGTGCAAACACGAGCTCAGAGCAATCAAGCGAAATTTCTTGACAGGTCTCGCGAAGATTCTCAGGATCATGAACGCTCGCATGATCCGTGATCTTTTTGTATAGGTACTGATCAACCAGGAGACCACCGTAAACCCCAGCGATAGCGCTACCAGACCATTTGGACAACTCAACGCAGGCGTCAGCAATCTGGTTGGTCCATCACACCATGGTCGCATGGTCCTTGTTCTCGGGCCAGGCGTACAGGAGATTTTTTCCAGAGGGAATCGCGCCATAGACCAGATAATAATGATCACTGTGGACTCCGTGATAGTAGACCTTGGGGACTTGGAATGAAAGATCCTTTCCGGCCAGCCACTCCAGAGTGACGTGTTCGGGAGTTCCAACATTCTGATGAATTGTCAGGTAGGCGTGACCAACCTCAAATATACCCCTCTTTGACGTCGCGGATCCACAAGAGATTTCGACGATGGGACAAGAATCCGAGAGAGGCCGTGTCGAGGGCTTTGGATTCCTGGCCTCAGAGATGGTAAAGAAAGCGCCTTTGCCATCATTCCAAGAAGGGCCATCTGGCTTGGAAGCAGAACGAGAGACGACGACGCGGCCAATCATCCAGGAGTTGTCGTCAATCTCCTCGATAGGAAATCGGTTTGAAGCTGAAGGATCCAAGAGTACTTAGACTAAAATTCCGACAGACATCTCAACGACCCTGCTTTGCTGTTCTCTCACACTGCCAATAGTCATGGTTGAGTTTGGCTGTTCCCATCCAGGCTGTTCTTCCTGTCATACATCACACAACACGCATTTATCAGAACAGCACCAAGTCAACTCATGTAAGGGAACTTAATTCAATCAAACAGGGTGTCTCTTTGTTAGAACATTGCCCGATGGTTCGGATAGTCAGCCGCCACTTACGACTAAAGGGGTCGTGTAGGGTGGGACAAAGAAGCAACTTCCGGTGTTCCAATCATTGAAAGGCGAACATGCAGTGAGGAATTCACTTTAATTGCGGTGGGCGGGCTCCGTGTTCTCGTTATGCTTGCGATTTCTCGGGACTCCGAATGTGAACAAGGAGGTCCCGATGCAACTTGGTGTGATCAATGCGCTGTTACCCTTTGCTGTGTCAGTGCCGTTCAGTCTAGCCAATGGGGGGATGATGTTCTGTACACAATCAAGAACATACCTCATCGACCGCAAATACTGGCATATGAGTGGAGACAATGGATTTAATCGAGGCAGTGCCATTTGGATTTCATGTGTCTCAAGCCTGCTTACCGAAGGTTCAAGGTCAATGAAATCTTTGAATTGTGTGAAAGCTCTGTAGGGAGAACCATGCTAACTCCACAGTCAAATTACCAGATCCTATTTCACTAGAATTACCCTTACACGATGATTATCTCAACTAGCTTGCCTTGCTCTTTATCTCTCGCAAACATTGCTCTAACAAGATTCAGCTGAACATCGCTTCCCTTTGTGATATCTGGAGATCCAGCCCCTACTCTTCTGAACCGTGGGATATCCCCACTGCCACATGAATTTGACTCTGCCGCCGTCAAAATCAAGTAGTATGGACCACGAACATTGTAAATTGGATCACTCGACTTCTGTACCCAGTAAAGCGGTACAGCAACCAAGTCAGATAGCTTATTGGCACAGTCCATTAGACAACTTGTTGGTAAGCCATATTTCGGAGGATCCCATTGCACCTTGATGCATAAACGCGAGTCTTGTTCCAGAAAGAACATTCTACTCCTTTCATCCACGGTGCACGGATGTATCACGACGGCGGATAGGTGGATCCAGCCACCAGTCACTTTGCCAAATGGGCTTTGATCGTTTTCCAAATCTACCTTTGCGTCTCTTACAATTGCGAGATTCTCTGATTCGTCGTGGTAGTGGTAGTGAACTGGGTGATTCACAGACGCCCAGGACCAACTTGGCGCTGAATAGGAACGAGGGTCTTGTCGCTTTGGTTCATGATCCAGCGCGAGCCAAAAGAGGTCACAGAAGAGATTGTCCTTCCATAGCCCTGCAAGGTATTCATTGGCCAACCCCTGCTGGGCAAATTCGAGAGACACTCTGGCAGCTAAGCCACCCAAGGCTGGGAGTTTATCGCTATCCATGGTTATGTATCTTTGCGAATATCTTACAACCATAAAGTTCCAATCAACCCTGACTTGTTTCTCGTCCTGTTCTCGGCCCTCTCGCTTGGGTACGTTAAACCGTTGCGGATGGCCGACAGGTTCAGTATACCCATTTTGCGCCTCAAAACACGATTCGCATTCAAAGTACATCTGTGCCTGAGCGAAGTGTAGAGTGTGAGGTGATAGATAACGCTCCTGGAAGGCCCAGCAGCGTGTCGATAGTGGATCTTCGTCAAGGTAACAGTTGTATCAATTGGTACTGGCCACATATTATTACAAAGAAATTGGTCAAGCTCGTCAGCAGAAACACGTATACTTATCCTGTCCCCCCTCGTCTAATGCCAGAGTGAAAATATGAGATTGAAGGATTATACTTAAATTGCACTAGCTTGTATAATATTAAGGCTTAAATAAAAT